TCATCTTAAAGAGGATGACGATCATCTTAAAGAGGATGACGATCATCTTAAGGAGGATGACGATCATTTTAAGGAGGATGACGATCATCTTAAGGAGGATGACGATCATTTTAAGAATGATGACCATCAACTTCAGGTAAATGTGAAAAAAAATGGCGGGGGCACTCTTTTTTTTCGTCAGTCTTTTTTATTAGGGTCTGAGAAACCCATCGCTGTACAACCAACAAATTTTTTTGGCGAAGTGTCCCCTCAAAAAATGGAAATGCTTAAAAATGAGATGGTTAGGTATGTACTCTTCTTTCGGGTGAACATCTGCCGGAGTAGAATGCAGGGTAGGCCGGGTTTAAACAGCCTGCCTGCGATTGAAGCCTCATGGCACTGGCAGATTCCGGGCAGTTTTGCTGGTTGCTGTCAGCCGGGGAGAAGCGCGTACATTTTAGGACAGCAATGGTCATTATGAATGGATTGTCCTGTGTTTTGTATACAGGGTTTTGTTCAAATTATTTCTCCGGCATAGGGGCCGCCAGCCATTCTTCTACCATAGTGGCAAACAGGGCCGGTATCTTACTGCCGCTGCCGGCAGCCATTAATTCTCCCATATAACTGCCATGGCTGGCCGGAAAAATGGCGAGGCGTGCGTGCTGCATCAGCCGGTACATTTCTACCGCATGTTCCGGGCGCACCACGTCCTGGTCGCCGGTAACAATCAGCGCAGGTGCCTTAATCGATTGAATGGCTTCCGCTTTCCAGTCAACAAAAGTCTGCATTCTTGCGGCGTCCTTGTCGTGCATATTCTGCAGCCCGGCCTGGCTGGGGTTAATCTGCAGGTAGGCATCCTGGTAGGGTTTGGGCATATCCTGCAGGGAGGCGTTTTTCATAAAATCCCAGAACCAGCTGTACATGCCTTCCCTTTTAAAGAAGCTGGAAGCCAGTACCAGTTTGCGCACCCGCTGCGGATGCCTGATGGCCAGTTGCATGGCGGTATTGCCACCATTGCTGAAACCCAGCACATCGGCACCGGTGATGTTTAATTGCCGCAGCAGTTCTGCAATATCATCTGCATCCTGTTCAAAGCTCTCTGGTGCGGGTCTGTCTGAGGTATGTCCATGTGCCTGCAGCTCTACCGCTATTACCCGCTTTGTTTGGGCAAATATGGGCAAGAGCTGTCCAAAACTGGTTTGAATGGTGGAGCCGCCCCCGTGCACCAGCACCAGCGGCTGCCCGCTGCCATGCAGTTCATAATACATTTTTATACCATTAACACTGGCATAATGGCCATTTGTTTGTGCATTTGCGGTGGTAATTGCATCCATAAAAAAGACAATTATTGCAACGATTATAGAAAACAGGTGCCGGCTGGGTTTCATGCCTCAAATATAAAACAGTGTATTGGGTAAAATTACCGCCCGGGGCGACAATTACAAGGCGGTTTGCGACAGGCAGGCAGGAGGAGGGTACCCCTGCAAACGTCCCAGGCAGACGGGGGGAGTAGTGCGTTTAGACACAATATTATAAAGCGTTGAAAGCAGCATTAAAAAATATGGATGCCCGTGTCTATTCTGATGATATCCGTGATAGTATTGCTGCATAAAATAATCAAACAGGGATTAATATCTTTTTAAGTTTTTCGCACTATATTGACCTGCGATTTTCTTTTTTACCTGTGACTGAGGGTGGCGAAGCCATGCATAGTTGAAAGCCCCTTTTTTGTATATTTAGGGGAACCTTATCTACTATGTATAGTATTACCTGCCATGCCCTGGAGCACCGGGGGGAAGAAAGATTGTTTCTGCATTGCGAAAACAGCCCTGTATTAAACGCCCATCTTAAGCAACTGCCGGGTATAAAATGGTGTAAAACCCATAAACAATGGCATGTGCCTTTGCAGCAGGACAGCTACCTGAAAATTTGTGCTGTATTAAAAGGAATAGCCAGTATAGACGCCAGTTTGCTGAAGGTACACCTGGAGAACAGGCAGCAGGTAAGCAGAAAATTGGCAGTGCAGGCGGAAACGGGCCGTAAAGTACTGATGGCTGTACAACCCCCGAAGCGGGTGAGGCCGGCTTCAGCTTCCACCACAGCAGATGAACGGATAGCCGCTGTAAACAAGCACGTGTTACCTGCGCTGAAGCAATACCTGGTGCTGAAAGCGTACAGTGCCGCCACCGCCCGTACGTATACACAGGAGGTTACCCAGTTTTTATATGCGCTGAAAAACAATGCGGCCGATAGCTTTGATGCAGAACGAATAAAAAGGTACCTGCAGTATTGTTTTGAAACGCTGCATTTGGGCGAGCATACGGTACACAGCCGCATGAATGCGCTGAAATTTTATTACGAACAGGTGCTGGGAAGGGAAAAGTTTTTATGGGAGATTCCCAGGCCGAAAAAGCCGCTTCAGCTGCCGCGGTTTTTTAACCAGGAAGAAGTGGCCGCCATTATTAATACCACTGCCAATGCGAAGCACAAAACCATGCTGATGTTATGTTACAGTACGGGCATGCGGGTGAGCGAGGTAGTAAGACTGAAGACGCGGAATATAGACAGTAAGCGTATGTGCATACTGGTAGAGCAGGCAAAAGGTAAGAAAGACAGGATGGCGCCGTTGAGCCCGGTGTTGCTGGTAATGTTGCGGGCGTATTCGCTGGCATACAAACCTTCGCCCACTGGCTATCTTTTTGAAGGGCAGGAGGAGGGTAGTCCGTACAGTACAAGAGGTTTGCAGGAAGTGCTGCATGCGGCCAAGCAGCGGGCCCTGGTGTATAAGCCCGGCGGTGTTCATTCTTTGCGTCATTCATTTGCCACGCATTTGCTTGATAAGGGAACCGATATCAGTATGATTCAGAAATTGCTGGGCCATAATGATATAAAGACTACGTTGCGCTACCTGCATACTACCAATAAGGATATAATGAATATTGTAAGTCCGCTGGACAGCCTGAACCTTATATAGGATGAATGAATGCAGCGGAATTGAGGTTTCCAATAGCCCGGTTTGATATACGCAGGTTTAGTGAACTTGCGGGTATTTCCATAAAACAATAATTTTCAATCAACGGCTTAAATAACTGCGGGCGCAACCCAATTAAAACCTGCGTGTATTTAAGAGTTGGCTGCAAGGCAATTGGAACCTCCCGTTCGACCAGTAAAACCATTAAAAGTGTCCGACATACAGAGACTGATCGACAGTACACTTCCATTTGTTGAAGAGTTGCTCATAAAGTATGGCGAGTTTTATCCTTTGGCATCTGCTGTAACTGTTAGCGACAGTATTTCTCAAGTGGGAGCTTATAATGGCGATGACAAGCCGCCATCGGACAAGGTCATTATGGATTTAAAAACGGGTTTTAAAGCTAAAAAGAACGACTATAAATGTGTAACTATTTTCTATGATGTAATTGTTGCAAAGCCGGACACAACACAAAAAGTAGATGCTGTTGCTGTCTTTGCTGAATCACAAGGGGACGACTTTGGCTGTGTAATATACTTTCCTTACGAATTGACAAATGCTAAGGAATTGAAGTTTCAAGATGGTGCTTGGAAAGAACTTAACGACAAAGAGATATTTGTTAATTTATAAGCGCTCGTTTGACTTTTGCCCTGCAGCCAACATGGGTTTGCAGCAAGTGGGGCTTGACGGAAGAGCAATGGTCAGCAAATCATCAATCAGCAGCAGCCATGGGCGACCGTTTTTAAAGGAGATTAGTTTTAAAAGAAGTTTTAATCAATAAACCAAGTTCAGTGGCCGGGCGGACGGAATTCTATTACCCCACCTGCTGCAAGCCCTGAACGTTGGCTGCTATTTACCTGATTCCATAGCAACTTTCTGGCGGAGAAAATGTTCCAATTCGTTCATGAAGATTCAATATTTATTATTTCTAATCTCAATTACACTTCTATTTGCAAATTGCAAAGAGGGACAACTTGTTGGGCATTGGAAGCGATTATATCCAGACAGCAGTGGTTATGACACATCATTGAGCGCAGGAAACATGACTCTGAATCGTGACAGTACATTTCGTATTCAGGGTGACACCTCCGGCCAAATGTCAACAACACCCGGATGGCATAGCGACACCGCATATAATGGTCACTGGACAAACCCACTAAGAATGTCATTTACCTCTATTTTGACTCATTGGAAACCAAATCAATTCTTCGGTACAGAATAGTTCGGGTGACCAAAGAGCGACTTGTTTTAAGATCTGTCATGAGCAAAAAAAGACGTTACCAAAACAAAGCCTTTTTTCGACGCTTGTAAACAGCAGCCAACATGGGTTTGCAGCAAGTGGGGCGGACGGAGGAGCAATGGTCAGCAAATCATTAATCAGCAGTGGCCAGGGGCGACCGTTTTTAAAGGAGATTAGTTTTAAAGGAAGTTTTAATCAATAAATCAAGTTCAGTGGCCGGGCGGACGGAATTCTATTTCCCCACCTGCTGCAAGCCCTGAACGTTAGCTGCCATGTTTTTAGATCCCAAATATTCGGGGTTGCGGCATGACATCGGAACATTGTTTTATTGCCGGGCCGACTTTGAGTTGGCAATTTGTCACCGGCCTAACCACGTAACTTTTGCAGGGCTGGACATTTGCCATAAAGCTCAGTTCCCGTAACCCACGACCCAAGGCCGGTAAACAAAAGCCAAGTTAACCAATTCGGCTGCGGGACAAGGCTCTGTTATAAGTTACGTCACGACATCAGAAGTCTGGTTATTACAGTAATCCCTGACCGCAATTGTCGACCGATAGCGTCTAGGTCAGCACAGAAATCAGCCAGGTAAGTTTGACGTTTGGCCGGCCCGGCCAAAACACGGCAGCTAACATGGGTTTGCAGCAAGTGGGGGCTGACGGAAGAGCAATGGTCAGCGGGGCATCATTCAGCAGCAGCTATGGTGCGACCGTTTTTAAAGGGAGATTAGTTTTAAAAGAAGTTTTAATCAATAAACCAAGTTCAGTGGCCGGGCGGACGGAATTCTATTACCCCACCTGCTGCAAGCCCTGAACGTTGCCTGCTAGCCATTGGCGACATCCCTGATTATGCAAGAACTACAACCGTATTTGTTCATATTTATTGGTATTATGGGTACTTTACTTAGCTTATTTTGGAAAGCAAGTAAAGGCAACTTAAAGAAAACTGGTGTAAAGGCTGAAGGTGTGATCTTCAATTTCGGCGGTGATTCTAATTCCTTTGCAAATACCTCGACGGAATCAAACATTCAGGATAAAGTTCAAATTAGGTTTGTGACAGAGAAAAATGAGTGGATCACGGGGTATATTAAGCAAGATTTTGTTGTGTTTTTTTCTGGACAGTACAAAGCGGGACAAAAAGTCGAAGTCTACTATGATCCTAATAGCCCCAATGATTACTTTATTGCAACAGGACAATCTGAGATAATAGTCAGGGTTGTTTTCTGTCTTTTAAGTTTGGCATTAACTGGGTTTGGAATTCTGCAATTAGTTTGGCAACCCTAATACTGGCCAGCAGGCAACATGGGTTTGCAGCAAGTGGGGCTTGACGGAAGAGCAATGGTCAGCGGGGCATTAATTCAGCAGCAGCTATGGTGCGACCGTTTTTAAAGGAGATTAGTTTTAAAAGAAGTTTTTCAATAAATCAAGTTCAGTAGGCCGGGCGGACGGAATTCTATTACCCCACCTGCTGCAAGCCCTGAACGTTACCTGCAACTTTTAACCTCTCCGCAATGGACTTTATATATTTTAAAGGGCCGCTAAGCGACATGTCTGACCTTTTGGATGGCAGTCATACTTGCTCAATTTGCAAAAAACAACAAGACCATTGTTTTCATATTGAGTTTTCTTCAAAGCATGAGTTTTCAGACGATGATGATCGTATTGGGTGTTACGAATGTTTAAAAAGTGGCGAGTTCGAATTCTGGCACGACTCTGAGTTTGGATTACTTGATGGAAAAGGGTTGAATAAATTATATGACCATAATAGTGACAACCCTCCAAAGCTTTCAAATGATGTAATTAATGAAATGCGTCGGACGCCGCAAATAGTAACTTATCAGCAAGAGCTTTGGTTGACTCACTGCGACGACTTTATGGTTTATAAAGGAACATGGGAACCATCGGATTTTTATAAAAACAGCCCGACTCATGACGGGCGACAACTTTTTATGGCCATGACAAATGAGGAATGGAATCACCTATGGGACGAGTCCCTTGAAGATGGCCAAAAGTTGTTAAATTCTTGGCATGCGACTTATTACGTATTTGAATGTCGGCATTGCGGAAAGCTTCGTGGAAATTGGGACTGCGATTAATACGCCTAAAAGCTGCAGGTAACATGGGTTTGCAGCAAGTGGGGCTTGACGGAAGAGCAATGGTCAGCGGGGCATCATTCAGCAGCAGTTATGGTGCGACCGTTTTTAAAGGAGATTAGTTTTAAAAGAAGTTTTTTCAATAAACCAAGTTCAGTGGCCGGGCGGACGGAATTCTATTACCCCACCTGCTGCAAGCCCTGAACGTTAGCAACAATGCCGCCGCAGGCGCAAAGCTGGGCATTGGAATGTAAAATGTTCAATAATCAAAAGTGCTTCTAGGTCAACTTCAGCAGTTGGAAGTGACCCAGCTTTTTTCCCTTGCTAAAGATTAGGCACTGTCGCTAACGGGCGGTTTGCAGCAAGTCTGGCGGGACAGGGGAGAGCCAGGGCATTCAATCTCTAATCAGCTTCAGCTATGGCGCGACCGTTTTTGAACTGAGATTTGAGTAAGTTTTAAGATCAATTTTTTTAATCCAAGTTCTGTACCGGGCGACTGGAACACAGAATGCCAGCCCTGCAGCAAGCCGCCGGGCGTTAGCAACAATGCCGCCGCAGGCGCAAAGCTGGGCTTTGGTAAGTAAGAAGTTCAAGATATTCAGAAAGTGCTTATAGCGCAACTTCAGCAGTTGGAAGTGACCCAGCTTTTTCCCCTTGCTAAAGATTAGGCACTGTCGCTAACGGGCGGTTTGCAGCAAGTCTGGCGGGACAGGGGAGAGCCGGGCATTCAATCTCTAATCAGCTTCAGCTATGGCGCGACCGTTTTTGAACTGAGATTTGAGTAAGTTTTAAGATCAATTTTTTAACCAAGTTCTGCACCGGGCGACTGGAACACAGAATGCCAGCCCTGCAGCAAGCCGCCGGGCGTTGTACGCTACGGCCGGTGCGCGGTGGCGTTCAAAGGTGCCAATTGGTGTTTAGGTTCGTTAAAGCCGGGGTTGCCAATTTGTGGACTGTTTGCGGTTGGTGGACGCGTATAGCGCCTGGTTTCTTCAGGAAACAAGAATAGGTGTTAATTAAAGCCCTTTTACTCGAGCCGCAGTTGGACAGGTTATTGTTTTCCGACTTCAAACTGAATTTCACTGCCTTTAATTTAATTCGCGACCGGCCCTTCACAAAAGGGTGGTAAGCCTTTAAATTTGGACTTGTAGACGGCGCAAGGTGTACCGTGACGGCTTTAACGGGTAAGTTTTTGGGTTGGCATCTTCAAAAGTGTACGGTTGACAGAGATGCTTTCGTTGCCAGTTCAAGAACGGGGTGCCGCTCACCATCGCAGCGTACAACAAGCGGTTTGGCGCAAGTGGGGCGGGACGGAGGAACAATGGGCAGATGAGTTCTAATCGGCTTCAGCTATGTTGCGACTGTTTCAGATGGAGATCGGTTTAAAAAGGTAAATTCGTTTTCAAAACTTAGTTTAGTGGCTGGGCGGACGGAATTCTGAAGCCCCACCTGACGCCAAGCCGCCAACGTTGGCTGCTATTTACCTGATTCCATAGCAACTTTCTGGCGGAGAAAATGTTCCAATTCGTTCATGAAGATTCAATATTTATTATTTCTAATCTCAATTACACTTCTATTTGCAAATTGCAAAGAGGGACAACTTGTTGGGCATTGGAAGCGATTATATCCATACATCAGTGGTTATGACACATCATTGAGCGCAGGAAACATGACTCTGAATCGTGACAGTACATTTCGTATTCAGGGTGACACCTCCGGCCAAATGTCAACAACACCCGGATGGCATAGCGACACCGCATATAATGGTCACTGGACAAACCCACTAAGAATGTCATTTACCTCTATTTTGACTCATTGGAAACCAAATCAATTCTTCGGTACAGAATAGTTCGGGTGACCAAAGAGCGACTTGTTTTAAGATCTGTCATGAGCAAAAAAAGACGTTACCAAAACAAAGCCTTTTTTCGACGCTTGTAAACAGCAGCCAACATGGGTTTGCAGCAAGTGGGGCGGACGGAGGAGCAATGGTCAGCGGAGCATCATTCAGCAGCAGCTATGGTGCGACCGTTTTTAAAGGAGATTAGTTTAAAAAGAAGTTTTTCAATAAACAAGTTCAGTGGCCGGGCGGACGGAATGCTATTACCCACCTGCTGCAAGCCCTGAACGTTAGCTGCTAACCAAAATGAAATTCGCAAATACATTATTTCTTGCAGGCTCATTGATTGCTGGATTAATAGCATTATTTGTGTTTTTAGGCAGCAAGGAGATGTCATTGTTGCTGATAACTTGTGCCTTCGCTCTACCTGCCCTTATATTGGCTCATTACACCAAAGTGGCGTT